CCACCTGTAATCTGTGGAGAGGAACACTCTGTTTCAGTAAAGCTCAGCAAAAACAAAGTGGTGCGTGATTATTGGTGGAAAACTAAACTGCAGTGAGGAAGCGCCGGACACGTGAGTCAGGCAGGCTGTCTAAATGGGCTCGTCTCACGAGGCGGCGCTCGAGAGTTTCCCGAGATCAAATGTGCGTTTGTGTCCTGATGAGTGTTTGTTCATGTCTCTGTTTCGTCTGCGTCTCCAGAAGAGTGCAGGCTCTGAGCTGCAGGAGATCATGAGGAGGCGGCAGGAGAAACTGGCAGCCAGCACCTGTGATTCAGGGGTGGAGTCTTTCGATGAAGGCGGCGCCCACTGAGCTCCACGCAGCTCCTCTCCTTCCTTCCTTCCCTGCCTCTTCCCTCCCTCTGCTGTACCTTATCCTTTTTTCAAACCGCAGCCTGCTGCTCTCTCAATCCTCAGGCGGCAGCCGACCGCGCGGAGTTCGTGGAGATCATGCGGCGTAGACAGGAACTCCTCAGCTCATCTCCATAGAAACAAACCGACCGCCCACCGGACTGCCCACACACACAATATTCTGCCATGTTTGCCTGGAGTTCACATGAACACTTTGGGGACTCGTTTAGTTGGTGAAAAGCTGTTCGCTCACCGTTTCCAAAGCAAAGCCTCGCAGTATTAACGTCAGTGCCGCGCCCGGTCCTCTCCGCTTCATCACTGCGGTCAGGTCACACATAGGAGCGTTTCATGATGTAATGATGTAAACACACTGCACTCTAAGAAGACTCGTGGAGCCGAGACATTCAGGATTTATGTCTTTTGAGTTAAGATTGTGGAAAAGGCTAAAAGCAAACAGGAAGTGCTGATCCTGTGTTTTTATTTCCAAAGAGGGATTGACCCTGCACACGTGGATTATTTCCTCTGTGCCTGGGCACAGTGAGATCACGGAGAGGCTAAAACTGAGCCTGGTACTTTAGACATGCCTGACTGCTTGTTACAAAAATGAAATTCACTAAATGAATATTATTCTATCATCTATGCTAACAGACTGATAAATATACATTTAAATGTTTTTGAGAGCGTTATTTGATGGGATTTCATTTTCTCAGATTATTTTAAAACTAGAAGCAAAATGAAATGCACATAACTTTATAAAAATAACTTATGAAGAACATCTGTCACAGAGTGAGTGATCAGGTTTCTTACAAGGAAATGATATTTGGTAATCAGCATTTTTGCACATGAATAAAAATGCTGTTGTTTTTCAGGCAGAGGTAACAACCAATGAAACAAGCCGAAGCGGCTGAGGTGTTTGTAATGGCTCAGATCTGAAAGTCTTTCTTTGACTTTGTTCTGAGGGTAAAAACACAAAATGAATGTAGTTGAACTCATCACGCCCCGTCCAAAGCAACAGGTAGCCTCATGTTTCTGTCTCATTGGTCATCTTACCTGTTCGAGCTGCAGGTGATGTGATGCCAGCGATTGCTGACTATATTCAGGTCGAGTAATTGCCATTACTATCAGCCTCCTCGTGAAAAAAACGGGGGAGGGGAATCTACAAATTGAACTCTGTATATTCTATCGAAAACCTGATGGAAAAGAAAAAA